GAATGCTTCACCAGTTTGGTTCACTGGATCCCACATTTCCAAGAGGATTAGACTAGTTAGTATAACCCTGATATCCACACATAAAGTTGATACCAAAATAAGCACCAGGATTCCAAAAATGCATCAGTGGGATATGCAGAATAATCACATTTTTTTTCTTCTTCTGGGCTAGTTCTAGACACACTTCAGATGTAAGGAAATTTGCCTTAAGTTCCCTCATCCCCTTCCCTTACCCTTCTCTTATCTACATACTGAGACACTCAGTGTCTGTGGCTCTTTCCCTTGTGCCTGAGACAACTCATTGTGGGCATCATCACATCCCAGTTTTTCCCAATCTCTTTCTGCTCAGAAACTCACCTCTTAGAAGTCATTCCCTCCTACACTAATAGCTACAGGCTAGGGAAGATTTTCCCAATGCTGTTTGTGTTTGCACACCTCCTTGATTATGGCAGAATGTCACAGATAGAAGCAGACCCAGAAAAGAGATTTTGAGGGCCAGGAGGGTTCTTCTCAGGACATCTTGAATCATATAAAGCTGTTAACACCATTATCTGCCTCTCATTCTCACTTTCCATTCTTTCGTTTTTCTTTTCTCAACCATAGGACCTACTGTGTGTAAAGCCACAGCAGGAGGTACAGGGGCCCAAAGGCAGGTGAGGCACAGTCCTTGTGAAATTGTAGGTGATAGTCAAATCCATTTCACCTGCCTTCACTAATCAAGGTCATCTACAAAAGGCTTGCATGGCCTCCAAGCGCTCGTAGCTGAAACAGTAAGATGTTTGCCCGAGTTACTTTGCAGGAGCTTGGAATCAGCTGTGTCTAATGGAGCTGAGCTCGTTAAGACTGGACCACCCACCCTCCAACTGGGCATGCGCGAGTGTTTGAGCCCAGTGACCTTTGACATCAGATGGCCCAAAACTCCACCCTCAGAACGTGCAGGAGCCTGTAGCCTAGTTACGCCTGCGCAGAATGTTAGGGCACCTTTTCCAATCACCTTCCCCCACGCTCCCCTCGCCTCAGACCGCCCTGCCGCTTCGCTCTATCCTGTAAGTACCCCGAGCC